ACAGCATCAAGTGATTGCATCAACAAAAATTACAACGATTAATATTTAAAACGCATAAAATAAAATTTAGAATGTAAAAGAAATTATTCAAAATGGAAGGAATGAATAAGAACTCGTATGACGAACTTTTTTGAAGACCACTCGCCATATAGGAGTTCTAAAATGGACAAAATTTTCTGTCAAGGGTAAGATTATATATATAAAAATATACCCTTTGTGGCCTGAATTCTGTCCAACCACAAAACGAGAAACATTTTGAAAAATCAAGAGGCAAAAATCCTTAATAAAATCCAATCGAAACTAGAGTTTGTAAAATAATTTACCCTCTCTGCCGAAATTATGATGAAAACAGGAGACGCCAGACGCTAGATGACAAAAGGAGTAAAAAAGTACTGGAAGCTAGCAACTAGCTCCATCTATATTCATATTTGAACCTATTTTGAAATCAAGTGTTAAAACTCGATCCTGTAGGAAAATTTAATTTTTGGCAGAATGAAGCTTTTTAGAGACTTTATGCATGATTTACATTTTCGTCTAGAAGTAATATATAGACATTTCCAGCATTTCCCCAGTTATGATATTTGTCTCTTTATTAACAAAATTGAACAAATTTTGTAACTATAATAAACCACATATAGTAGTTTATAATTTTATTTTATTTCATAAAAACTAACGAAATAAATTTGCGTGTGAGGAAAGAAGTTTTGAAGCTTCAGTAACTCAGAAACTAAAATTTGGCGTTTCTATATCATAAATATTTTAGAGTAATGCATTGAATTTTTGAAAACTTTCATGTCTCTACATCGTAAATATTTTACTGAATAATGAATGCATTGAATTTTTGAAAACTTTTACGTCTCTACATCGTAAATATTTTACCGAGTAATTTTTTATTGAATCGGTAAACAAAAATACTCTAAGATATTACAAAAATTAGGAAGAATTTATTATATTCTGTATTACACAAAAAGCTCTGATGCTGAATGATTTCACTTATTATCCTTATGCATTTTATCAGCATGTTTCGATTCAGCAAATAAGTTGCATTAGTTCATTAGTTAAGTTAGTTCAAGTTTAATCATTTTCCGTTTCAGATTAGAGCTTAAATTCTAGGTGAGAAGATAAAGAGAATTAGGGAGGTGCATTGTACATTGAACAGAACAGGTATAGGGATTCTAAAACAATAAGAAAGAAAAACATCTATAAAATTTTCCAAGTTTGAAAATACTCTTTTAGGGAATCCATTAAGACGAAAAACTACGAATAAAATATTTAAACATAATTTTTCACAACCAGTAATACCGGCGAACAGCTGGTCACCACAGGCGGCTAGTCTTTATATATTTTTTCCCACTTGCTAGAGCGAGAAGTAGAATATGAGGGAACAAAATTGATTTCATCTTGATTTTAACATCAACTAGTAATTTTTGCACTTATGCATTTGGAAAACTTTTACGGGATCTTTTATTTCTCTGTTATTATTATTATGAGTTTGGTGTAGAATAGCTGTTTTTCAATTTTATACATCAAAATCTAATGCGAAATACCATAGTATATTTTTATGTTTTGGTTTCTGCCCTTGCTTTTTATACAAATACCAAATACAACAAAAACAGTGTGAAAATAGCGGAATAACAATTTGACCTTGCTTCTTCAAAATGGACAAAAAGGTAGAAGAATTACTTTTCGTGCCCTACTCTTTTCTGGCTGAAAACAGGTATACCACTTTTCCCCCAATTATTTGCCATGACAGAAACTGTCCAATAAGTTTGAGGCTATTCTGTGTAATAGTATTTCTTCTTACATCCCCTCAAACAACGCAGAACTATTGAGAGAAGATTCTGCCATGCCATACCCTTCTTTACAACGATATAAGTATAATCAGAAAAGCTCCCCAAACACATAAATCTAAGAACAGGCTTCAGTTTGGGAGCTGCTTTTTTCACAGTTAAGCTATTGATAGCTTTTCTTAAAACCCACACCGGTCCGGACTACCCGGAAGGGTGTAAGGCCTGAAGTAGGCCGGTGGGAAGCTATTGATAGTGTTAGATTGCAAAAAAATGCATCTACATCATTTTTCGGTTTTATCAGTATTTTCAAATATTTAAATCTTCTCCACGAGAGTTTCTTTCGAATCTTGTGGCGTCTCTGGCAACTTTTGAAATTTAAACGGTAATTTTTAACAGTTTGATTAAATATCTAAATTTTTCTTAATTATTTGCTTAGTAAGCGAATTAAACATTATTTGCATTAACTTTTTATGTCTTTTCATTTAATGTTTCAACTTTATTAAATTATAAATCAAATTTATTCAACGGGAATATTTACTCGACATCTTGTTCCGCGTATGAATTTTTGTGTAAAAAGGCTTGAGCGTCTCTCTGACTGGAAGGATTCCTTTGTGTGATTTAAAATTTAATGAGTCGAGACTTGCTCGAGGTGGTTGTACCTGCGTGGGGGCCTCTCGGAGCTGTTCCCCACAGTTTTTTTCTGTTGGTTCCCATAAAAATGGCAAAAAGGTGACCATCAAGAATTTTTTCCATGTCCTTCTACAAGTAAAAAAAAATATCGTTGAATATCGAGCCTGTAAATTGGAACGAGTTCGAACTGCAGCGGTTTGTGTTCGCATTTGAAATAATGGCTGTCGAATTCCATTTTTGCTCTTCTTAATAATTACTGAGCGAATGGGCTGTGGATTTAGTCCGTTCCAAGAATCTGTAGATTGAGTGAACTTATTAGCAAGCTGAAGTTATCCAATCTCAGTTATTGGATAGAACTACTCAAACTACCATGCACAGCAATACTATAATAATTGAACAGCCTGTCCCTCGCAGTCTTCGTTGTCTTGATGAATGTGAAAGTGAAGGAAGTTGTGGGCATCAATTACGCAGCTGAATCACCTATAAATAGTTTAAAAGCTTGTACCTGATTAATCGAATGTGTATGAAAAAAGCATGCTTCTGTGTTTTGCTTCATCTTTAAAGTTAATGCCAAAAATAATTTTTGAAAGAAAGTCTTTTTTTTGAGTTGATTGCTATGCAAGTGTGAATACGGAATCGTACATCATGTGTCTTCAATAAGTTTTCACGAACAAAGTGTGCACTGTGCATTGTCAACATATATCAATTTATCTATAGAAGCAAAATGTTTTTTGGATTTAAGTATTTTTGTTTTTAGTATTTTTTTATCATATCGAGCCTGCAGCTTCTTTTTTGTTATGATGTGTAGCTACATTTTTCATTTGTATTTTTATATTGGTTGGATGTGTGCATCATAATTACTTTTTATTTATTCATAATATATGGCAGTAAAACTTAATTTTAACGATTATTAAATAAAAAATATTTTAAATTTATAACTTGATTCTGTTTTAATTTCTCTTATTGTATAAACAACGCATTGTAATAATTATGTTTTCAGATAATTTTCTCTAGAGGCCAAGTATTTTAAAAGTAGGTGCTTTATTAAGGTGTAGCATGTCATTGTATTCATATTTTCAGCATCAAGTATGCATTTCATAATTGATATATAAATCTAAATTTTACCTTTGGCACCTATCAATAATTAACTTCCATAATTAACATTCTCAGAACCAACAGATAGCTTGAGACTAGACTGGTCCATCAGCTTTATGACAGCAAAACGCAACTGCCAAAACAGTTGTCATCTATAAAGTACATCTCATAGCCAACCCTCTCCTAATGATGACAATTTTTATAACAAGGGAGATGTCACCCCTTTTCTTCCTTACTTGGTTTGTTGGCGCCTTTGAACTGTAAATTGGCATTTTGGCGATCAATGGTTGCCAGAATATGTGAGCGCGCCAATGCGCACTTTACTACGCATTTCTCTCGTGTGTTCTGTAAAAACATGTATATAGTTCTGTGTGTGTGATCGTACAATAAATGTTGTGATCGTGAACAAGGGCTATGCTTGAACTTTCTGATTCGACGGACATAACAAAATACGAATTCCATTCCACTGCTCTCCATGAGTTTGGAGGAAACACGGTTCTTTTAGAGCAGAGGTTCCCAACTTGTGGTCCGCGTACCCCTGGGGGTACGCGAAGGACTAGTTAGGGGTACGGGAAATCAAAGTTGGAAGTGGCGGAAACAAGAGAACATAAAGGAATTTTAAAAAGTTACCGAATTTTGTCTCCCCAAGTGAATACTTGCTATTTAATAACTATACCACTCGAATAGTTGATTGTTACGAAGTGTAATTTTTAGTCATTCTTATTAAGTTAATGAGAAATTATTACAATACTCATTTCATCTGTTTTGGCGTTGAACTGATACTATTGTAAAAATGCGATAATATGTAAAATAAAAATAAGTCCAGCAAATATTGTAAATTCGAGTCATTTGACTCTTAAGCTAAGCTAAGCTAAGCCCTGACCATTATTGATAGTAACTTCTTTGCATAGGCGAATGGTTAGTGGCAGTGGTGGAGAGATATGACAGTAGGAGGTACGCGAAAATATAGAGATTAATCAAAGGGTACGGGAGGAAAAGAAGGTTGGGAACCCCTGTTTCAGAACAATAAAAATATGAGAGCTCGAGGCATCCCCAGCCTTGCATAGCAGTTCTGTGTTTGTAAAATTGAACTATTTGTTATTTTGTTTATTCTGTCCAGAAATAGAGCGGGTTCTTCCCTTTCAAGCCAGGTGCAGACACTGCTACTGTAGTAATAGGCCAATTTATTTAATGTGCATTAAAAGAAAAAGCATTTTATACGAACTTTTTCAAAATAATACTGAAAGATATGTACATATTTGATTGTTGTTTCTTCTGAATATATGCCCCCCGATTGCTGCCCTCTAGGCCAAGGACGAGGTTAACCTTATGGGAAATTTGACCCTGTTTAAATAAAAGTTTTTATTAGCGATTTTTACCATTTTGGACTTGAAATAACAAGCCAAACCCTTTATTGGTTATTTTATTAGTCCTAATATCTTCTGATATTGCCGCACATGGAAACCTACCCAGTGGCACCAAGCAAACCCCGTGGCTCAGTTGATAGAGCAGTAGGCTGGAAATCTACTTCTCCGTGGTTCGAATTCCAGCTACGCTGGTTTAATCCAAGGAGTGGTACTTCAATTCAAAATGTGCTTCGGGCAATTCTGGATCTTTTTCCAGAAATTCTAGCTGGATGTTTCCGAAATATTACTTTACATGTATAGATACTGAGTCCCATAAGTTGTGAGCTAATAAATCTACTTTATTTTTAACTCATATTCTGTAATTCTTTGTATCTTCGATGTAATGATCTCTCTTGGTAAGGCAGATCAGCAAAAATTTAATGAAAACAGTTTTTAAAAATACACTATTATTTGCATTTTAAAGAGAAGGTTCCTTTACTTGTAAGATTCTTTACTTTTTAAGTCTTTAATTTGTAATTCATTGTTATGGAATAATCAATTATGGAAATAAAAATTATAATAATAATAATTAATATAATAATAATATTAAATAATAATTAAATTATTAGGGAATAATAAATATTATATGTTATAAATAATATAGAATAATAATTAATATATGTTATATATATTATTTGAAATCAATTTTTTTCTCAAATTCAATTCCAGATAGCGCCACTTGTACTGAATCAAAATTTAATTAACCGATTGACTGATAACGCATGAAAATATTAAAATAGTGCATTGTCACCGAGAATACATAACTGTACAGAATTTCAAAACTATGGCTTGTCAGAAAGTGATAGATTAATAATAATAAATAGATTCCAAAATCCCATCTTTATAAATGAAAGAAGTCAAGTTAAATAAGTGAGTGAAAACTGAAAAAATTAGCCAAATATGACGTGGCGATAAAATTTCTCTTTGTAAGTCGATTCAGCAAATGTCATTGGAAGATTGCCGCGATCCAAACTGTGTGGAAAGTCTAATCCAAGCATTAATTCTCCGTTAGTCACAATCATAAATGATCTCAATACATCTCGTGGTTTAAATCTATTTTATGATATGTTCTTCTAGTTTTAATATAATTAGTCCTATTAAGAATGTGAATGAGTATTTTATAGGAAAAAATTCAAATTGTTATACGTTAAAAACAGCTATTATATAGATATTGCGACTAGCGGAGGGTTAATAGGTAGAGAACTTTTTTCTTGCTCAGCAAACGACGCTCCGAATCACTCCCCTCCCTAGTGCAGCATTATGGGTGTTGCATCCTTCCACATTGAAAACACCAAACCCAGTCAATTCGAAAGCATCTTGAAACTGCAATATTGCTCGCCTGACGTAAGTTTTCTTCGTCAGCAGCTTACGTGGGAGCTTAAAGCAGAGCCTAAGTAGTTTTTGTAATAGGCAGCGGGAGGCCCCGTTTGGGCATCTAATGAGCTTAATAACATCTACAAAGTGCAGTAATAGTCTCTTGAAGAGGCTGGGACGCCTTCGAAGAGCTGATCTTAATCTGCCTCTCTCTATCTTTTTTTGTTCTTCTCTCTCCTCCCCCTTTATTCTGGGTGGAATGAAAAACAACCAATTACAAGCCGAGGCTCTTCTGGAAATTGGCTCTTACTCCCTCACGAGTCGTGTTTTCAGAATTAAAAGCATGGAAAAGTTAATTTTCGTCGTGCATCGGTTTCTTGTCTTCGTCGTTTAACTC